CTCCCAACGCTCTGTCGCGCAAACTGAGACTAGCGTACATATGACCAGTCACACTGTAATCCTTCATCGTAAATGTTAACGGTAAATTACCGTCTAGGGTTAAGATCGCGACGTAATTAGGCTAAACCCACGTGATAATTAGGCACAATGACAGTCACACACACACACACACACACACACACACACACACACAGGCTAGACAGGCTAGACCCACGTGATACATACACACACTTACACACTTACAGACATACACACACACACAGTGATGTACTCACCCAGGTCGGAGGGTTCAGCAGGGAGCAGCTGAGGGTTCCACTATCCCCCCGGGGGGGCGAGAGACACAGGTGGGTGGACGGGTGGGTCTGGTGTGTCGGGCAATGCCACACTCTCGGCTCGCCATCCAACTACCGCCTTCAACGCGGATATAAAATGTTTGGAGGCGAGCTTGTTGTACTAATCACTTCCTGGTCGGCGTCACGCTGCACAACTCACTGTGGTCTTCTCTCGTGCTATACACAACGCGTGCTTACTTCCCACACATTCCATACCCCTCCAGTCGCGTCATACTATTGTTCTGCAGCGGGGTTAAATCTCCTATTATATTAATATACTTTTACGATTTAAATTGTAAGATATTAATGTTTCTAGTGAGTGCTAGTGAGTGAGTGAGTGAGTGAGTATGTTTGAAACATGAAAAAATATTGATAAATGTTGTTTTTTCCGGTATATAAATTAGTTTCCTGCTTTCCTTAAGTAGCATACAAACCCTCACACGAGCTTTATCAATCTTTATTTCACATACTGAAGAGGCCACAGGCCAAGAGTACAATTTGAAGAATATTCAATTTTATACAATTTATGTACATATCTCACCAAATCACCTCACGTCATTCCACCTCGCATCTCAACGCAGTCACATAATTTCACACATACAGTACAATACCATACCCTGTAATTTCATAATTTCTATTTTACCATATCACAACTTGTTATATCATACAACATATTCTATAACATCATATCATATTGTATCATTATTATAAGATCATACTATATAGTATTATTTCATATACCATTATCATATCATAACATACCATACATACCCTCGTACCATATATCACACCTATATTATATCACATTTCAACATGTCATATCACACAACACATTAGCAATTTCATAGCTTGTCCCATCATATCTTATCATATCATACCATATAATGCCATGTCATTCCATGCCAATTTATTTCATATAAATCAATCAATATTCATTCAACACTGGAAGACCGCAAGCCATAAAATATGTTCACTAAAAAAAAAAAGTATTTACACAATTTCTATAATACACATAACATATTGTATCATATCCCCTCATGTATCATATCACACCACAACACTTATCATATCATATCACATCATGTCATGTCACATCATATCATTTCATATACATATAACTATACTAAACCCTTTTTTAATATCACTGCTTTATTCTGCCTACCTTAAGTAACATACATACCCTCACACGTGCTTTATCCTGCCTACCTTAAGTAACATACAAACCCTCACACGTGCTTTATCCTGCCTACCTTAAGTGACATACAAACCCTCACACGTGCTTTATCCTGCCTACCTTAAGTGACATACAAACCCTCACACGTGCTTTATCCTGCCTACCTTAAGTAACATACATACCCTCACACGTGCTTTATTCTGCCTACCTTAAGTAACATACAAACCCTCACACGTGCTTTATCCTGCCTACCTTAAGTAGCATACATACCCTCACACGTGCTTTATTCTGCCTACCTTAAGTAACATACAAACCCTCACACGTGCTTTATCCTGCCTACCTTAAGTAACATACATACCCTCACACGTGCTTTATCCTGCCTACCTTAAGTAACATACATACCCTCACACGTGCTTTATCCTGCCTACCTTAAGTAACATACAAACCCTCACACGTGCTTTATCCTGCCTACCTTAAGTAACATACATACCCTCACACGTGCTTTATCCTGCCTACCTTAAGTAACATACAAACCCCCACACGTGCTTTATCCTGCCTACCTTAAGTAACATACATACCCTCACACGTGCTTTATCTTGCCTACCTTAAGTAACATACAAACCCTCACACGTGCTTTATCCTGCCTACCTTAAGTAACATACATACCCTCACACGTGCTTTATCCTGCCTACCTTAAGTAACATACAAACCCTCACACGTGCTTTATCCTGCCTACCTTAAGTAACATACATACCCTCACACGTGCTTTATCTTGCTTACCTTAAGTGACATACAAACCCTCACACGTGCTTTATCCTGCCTACCTTAAGTAACATACAAACCCTCACACGTGCTTTATCCTGCCTACCTTAAGTAACATACATACCCTCACACGTGCTTTATTATGCCTACCTTAAGTAACATACAAACCCTCACACGTTCTTTATCCTGCCTACCTTAAGTAACATACATACCCTCACACGTGCTTTATCCTGCCTACCTTAAGTAACATACATACCCCCACACGTGCTTTATCCTGCCTACCTTAAGCAACATACAAACCCTCACACGTGCTTTATTCTGCCTACCTTAAGTAACATACATACCCTCACACGTGCTTTATCCTGCCTACCTTAAGTAACATACATACCCTCACACGTGCTTTATCCTGCCTACCTAGAGTAACATACATACCCTCACACGTTCTTTATCCTGCCTACCTTAAGTAACATACATACCCTCACACGTGCTTTATCCTGCCTACCTTAAGTAACATACATACCCTCACACGTGCTTTATTCTGCCTACCTTAAGTAACATACATACCCTCACACGTGCTTTATCCTGCCTACCTTAAGTAACATAAATGACCTCACACGTGCTTTATCCTGCCTACCTTAAGTAACATACATACCCTCACACGTGCTTTATCCTGCCTACCTTAAGTAACATACAAACCCTCACACGTGCTTTATCCTGCCTACCTTAAGTAACATACATACCCTCACACGTGCTTTATCCTGCCTACCTTAAGTAACATACATACCCTCACACGTGCTTTATCCTGCCTACCTTAAGTAACATACAAACCCTCACACGTACTGTATCCTGCCTACCTTAAGTAACATACAAACCCTCACACGTGCTTTATCCTGCCTACCTTAAGTAACATACAAACCCTCACACGTGCTTTATCCTGCCTACCTTAAGTAACATACAAACCCTCACACGTGCTTTATCCTGCCTACCTTAAGTAGCATACATACCCTCAAACGTGCTGTATCCTGCCTACCTTAAGTAACATACAAACCCTCACACGTGCTTTATCCTGCCTACCTTAAGTAGCATACATACCCTCACAAGTGCTTTATCCTGCCTACCTTAAGTAACATACAAACCCTCACACGTGCTTTATCCTGCCTACCTTAAGTAACATACATACCCTCACACGTGCTTTATCCTGCCTACCTTAAGTAACATACATACCCCCACACGTGCTTTATCCTGCCTACCTTAAGTAACAAAAATGACCTCACACGTGCTTTATCATGCCTACCTTAAGTAACATACAAACCCTCACACGTGCTTTATCCTGCCTACCTTAAGTAACATACATACACTCACACGTGTTTTATCCTGCCTACCTTAAGTAACATACAAACCCTCACACGTGCTTTATCCTGCCTACCTTAAGTAACATACAAACCCTCACACGTGCTTTATCCTGCCTACCTTAAGTAACATACAAACCCTCACACGTGCTTTATCCTGCCTACCTTAAGTAACATACAAACCCTCACACGTGCTTTATCCTGCCTACCTTAAGTAACATACATACCCTCACACGTGCTTTATCCTGCCTACCTTAAGTAACATACATATCCTCACACGTGCTTTATCCTGCCTACCTTAAGTAACATACAAACCCTCACACGTGCTTTATCCTGCCTACCTTAAGTAACATACAAACCCTCACACGTGCTTTATCCTGCCTACCTTAAGTAGCATACATACCCTCACACGTGCTTTATCCTGCCTACCTTAAGTAGCATACATACCCTCACACGTGCTTTATCCTACACGTAGCGCAAACTTATACTAGAGAACATGTGTGTCAACAGTCACACTGAAACTTTATCATAAATGTTCACGATAAATTACTGGCAGCTGTATACAGAAAATAGCTGTATACAGTAAATAGTGGTATATAGTAATAATGGTATACAGTATATAGCGGTATACAGTATATAGAGTTATACAGTAAATAGAGTTATACAGTAAATAGTGTTATACAGTAAATAGTGTTATACAGTAAATAGTGTTATACAATAAATAGTGGTATACAGGAAATAGTGGTATACAGTAAATAGTGGTATACAATAAATAGTGGTATACAGGAAATAGTGGTATACAGTAAATAGTGGTATACAATAAATAGTGGTATACAGGAAATAGTGGTATACAGGAAATAGTGGTATACAGGAAATAGTGGTATACAGTAAATAGTGGTATACAATAAATAGTGTTATACAGTAAATAGTGTTATACAGTAACTAGTGGTATACAGTATATAGCGGTATACAGTAAATAGTGGTATACAGTAAATAGTGTTATACAGTAAATAATGTTATACAGTAACTAGTGGTATACAGTAAATAGTGTTATACAGTAAATAATGTTATACAGTAACTAGTGGTATACAGTAAATAGCGGTATACAGTAAATATTGGTATACAGTAAATAGTGGTATACTGTAAATAATGTTAGACCCCAGATGCCTGTAGACCCCGGACGCCTGTAGACCCCAGACACCTGTAGATCCTGGACGCCTGTAGACCCTGGACGCCTGTAGACACCAGACGCCTGTAGACCCCAGACACCTGTAGATCCTGGACGCCTGTAGACCCCAGACACCTGTAGATCCTGGACGCCTGTAGACCCTGGACGCCTGTAGACACCAGACGCCTGTAGACCCCAGACACCTGTAGATCCTGGACGCCTGTAGACCCTGGACGCCTGTAGACCCCAGACGCCTGTAGACCCCAGACACCTGTAGATCCTGGACGCCTGTAGACCCTGGACGCCTGTAGACACCAGACGCCTGTTGACCCCAGACACCTGTAGATCCTGGACGCCTGTAGACCCCAGACACCTGTAGATCCTGGACGCCTGTAGACCCTGGACGCCTGTAGTCCCCAGACGCCTGTAGACCCCAGACACCTGTAGACCCCAGACGCCTGTAGACCCCAGACGCCTGTAGACCCCAGACACCTGTAGTCCCCAGACGCCTGTAGACCCCAGACACCTGTAGACCCCAGACGCCTGTAGACCCCAGACACCTGTAGACCCCAGGCACCTGTAGATCCTGGACACCTGTAGACCCTGGGCGCCTGTAGACCCCAGACGCCTGTAGACCCCAGACACCTGTAGTCCCCAGACGCCTGTAGACCCTGGACGCCTGTAGTCTCT